TCCGATCGCTCGATTTCGGTCCGTCACGGTGCTGCGCGCGCGCCATCTTCAGTCACCAAACTCGAATTACACCGTGCCCGTGAAACGAAGGCACGAAGGAACTTCTGAACCGTGTGTACCAAGGTTCATAGATCCGAACAGAGTCCGACTAATCGTCGAACGGATATCTTTTTAGTTGCTACACCGGTTGATTTTTATTCGCCACATATACATGTTCCGTGCACAAATGTCTGGCAAACGGGACGTGGGTCCCGATCGCATTGATCTCGTGGGCCCGGCGGAATCCAGAAATTTGTGCGAGAGAAGATGAACTTGAACAGACCTGAACCAGCTCTGTTCGACGACACTTTTGTAATTACGTTGACCGCGATGATTCTTTCTCTTTTTTTTTTATGGTCCTTCTACCTTTTACTCGATCCCTTTCACCCGAGCCCTTCTAACAGGAACGACCAATGCTCGTACACTGTTTTGTTTTCTCAAGCAGAATCGTTCGCCGAACGTTTTGCCTGTGATCGAGACACTTTCGAACCTCTGTCGACGATCTGTTGATCCACGATCGATGACACGATCGATGACACGATCGATGACAGGATCGGGACGGAACGGCGAATCTGCCCAGATTTTCCTTGCTTCGTCACGAGGGCTCCTCGCCGATCGAACTTTTAACCGTCTTCCGATTCTTGTTCACACCGTCGCTACTAATCCGCTAAATAAAAAAAAAAGCGAAAAAAAAGACAGGAAAAGAAAGAAAAGAAAAGAAGATGTAACAATCGATCTCTCGAGCCTTTTATTACGAGCTTTGACAAGAAACTGCGGCTTCACGCTTGGCGCGACTGCTGCAACGAAAGCTTTGATACTAACGAATGGCTTCTTGATTCTTACTTCTCTTTCACTCACGAACTCATCAATTCTCTCTTCTTATTATCATTACGTATTTATTCTTGTTATTATTATTATTGTTATCGTTGTTTTTTATCGTTACTGTTATTATTACTATTATTATTATTGCTATTATTATTGTCACCATTACTATTATTATTATTATTATTATTATTATTATTATTGCTATTATTACTATTATTGTTACTATTACTATTATTATTACAATTATTACTATTATTATTATTATTATGTGCTGTTTACGGTCAATCTATGCATCATTTATTCTCCACACCGTATTTTCGATCCACACTTCTGCGCCAACCCATCATAACGCGCGTCTTGCACTCCGGATCGGTACACGTATACCGCCGATCACAAGAAACCGAAGAAAAAAGAAAAAAAACAAACAAACAAACAAGGAAAGAGAAAAAAAAAGAAAGAAAAGGAACAGCGTATAGAAGTTAAGAAAGAAAGAACACACGTCTATGTATACATCTAGACGAACGAACGAACGAACGAACACGAAACACCCACGCTCCGATCGCAACACGATTCTTTTTTTATTTATTTTTTCTCTCTCTCTCTCTTTCTCTCTCTCTCTCTCTCTCTCTCTCTCTGCCCACTTCCCTGTTGGTAACAATCGACGATGTCGATACGACTGTACACGAACCAGCGTTCGAGAAGAGGATGGATGAAATATCCGACGATTAGCAACCATTCCAAGCGCGTGTCTCTCGATTTCGAGGAGTAAACTGACAGATCTTGGTCGAGAACGCGTGCGAGCAACGAACGACCAGCTAAAACACCTGTCCCTGGTACCTGTACACGTGCCAGAGCCGAATAAGCCTGGAGAGAAAGCCGGGGACCGTTCCGGTCGATCGTTACCGATGGCGGTCGTCCGCGCTGACAACTAGCGCCACGAGCGCCGTACTCGAGTGGACCTCGGCGTTACGTGTTGTGCCTCTTTCTTTTCTTTTTAGGAACAACGTCGTTCCACTTCTGCGTTCCGCTCACCACCTGACCCACCCCACACCCCGTTCTTTATTTTTTTTTTTTTTTTTTTCTTTTTTTTCTTGAAAGCGTTCCTTTCACGACGCACACGGGATATACGTTTCGCTCCACGAGAGAACACGAAAAGGAACGAACTCGATACGAACGAAACCGAGAAAGAAAAGGAAAAGAGAAAGGCAAGAAGGAAAGGAAAAGCGAAAGGAAAGAGCGTAAAGCGAAGGACGAGGGGAGAATGAAAAGCGAAAGGAAAAAAGTAAAGGAAGAAGGAAAGAACAAGGAACTCGAACTCCTGTCGCCTAAAACCGATCTTGCTCCTTCTGTTTTCTGCTCCCTCTCTCTCTTACTCTCTCTTTCTCTCTGTCTCTCTCTGTCACTCGAATATTTATATGTGTATATATATATCTCTCTCTCTGTCTCTGTTTCTGTCTGTTTCTGAATACTGTACAGCAACAACGAGAACGTGTGACGACTATACACTATATGGGGAAAAAAAAAAAAGAAACGAGAAAGATTTCCGAAAAGGGGAAAAAAAGAAAAGGAAAAAGAAAAAGGAAAAGAATGGAAAGGAAAGAAAATTGACCAGTTCTTTCGTTCACCACCGCCATTTCGACGACGTTTCTTTACTTCCTTTCTCTGTCTTCTTACGTTCTTCCGTTTTTCAATCTGTCTCTTTCTATTTCTCTCGTTCTCTCTGTCTCTCTTCCCCTCACTCTTTCTCTCTCTCTCTCTCTCTCTCTCTCTAACTTTCTCTCTATCTGTCTCTGTCTGTCTGTCTTTCTCTCTACCTCTGTTCTTTATTACGAATCTCTTGATAACCTGGCCCTTTTCTTACTACGTCTTGCTATGTCCCGCTTTCTTTTGTTTCTAGATATTGCAGAACCTACAAAAAAAACGCACTGAGCGGAGGGGGCGCCTAAGTTCTGACAATATGAGTAAAAAGAAGTCCGGTTTCAGCAAAAGCGACCTTATTTTTAAGGTAACCCGCCCTAACGAATGCGCGAGCTCGCGTCCGCTCGGGGTTCGCGATCGTGTCGCGAGTCGTCGAACCCGCCTCGAGACCACCTTGGGTCCCGTTTCCACGAGACTCGAGCGAACCACAGCCGACTCTGTCCGCCTGGTGTCGTTCTCCCGAACTGAACGCCGACGAAGCGGGGAATCCCCCGACGGAGTCTCGTACGAAACGCGTGATACATCGGTGACTCGTTTCGCTAGATCGTACGACGGGACAGGGGATCGGACGAGATTTGCCCACGTGTCCACGTGGTCACACGTGGAACGAACCGGACGACGACAACGCGGTTCGATCGAATGGGAGTCGTATCGAACAAAGATGAGAGCACGAACAGGAGGAGAAAACGGAGAGTCAGCGGTGTGTCGTTCGATCGGTGTCTCGGGGAACAGGAAGAGCGATCACGAGGAGGCTGGACGCAGGAGCTGTACGCTGATTGGCTCGTTGGTTTATTACAAACATTCGCTTCTACTTTCCGCCGCATTATACATTACATATTACCCGCAGCAATAGGCTATGCTTCTTATACATTCACCATCGGCACCCGCCTAGCGATGAGAAAGTACCAAAGTGTATTTTATCATACCTATATATATATATATATATACATACATTCATACATACTATGTGTGACGTTACTATATATATACTTTAGCGAAACTTCACCGACCAAGTCCAAGTCGTAGAGAAGAAAAAGATAGAAAAAAATAAAAGAAATACATATGTGTAACGAGAAAATAAAGTGGAGAAAAAAAAAAGTACGCCCTGCTCTCGAGGAAGCCGGAGCTGATTCTCTCTGACTCGTTTTCGAGACGATCCGTCATCTCGTTGTCGAAGTTAGCGAGCTACTCGTCCCCGTGCGTGAAAGCAACAGAAAAAAATGTCAAAAAAATGAAAAGAAAAAAAAAAAATTAATAAAAGTAACGTGATTTCGAACGAATCACTGAACTATCACGATGAAGCAGACGTCTCCACGTAGAGATGCAATCGTCTACTCGTGGATCCCTCCTCTCTCTTTCTCTCTTTCTATTTTTTCTCTACTTCTCTCTGTCTCTCTTTCTCTGTCTCGCTAGATCTTTCTCTCTCTCTCTCTCTCTCTCTCTCTCTCTTTTTCTCCCTATCAAACAATCTCTTTCTATATCTCTCTCTCTCTCTCTATCTATCTATCTCTCTATCTCGTTGATCCTGATTTGCTGTAATTTTATATTTTTCCAAACCCACCAAGTTCCAAGTGACTTCCTCGACTCCACGCGATTCGTTGAAAACGAATAGTTATCTTGTATCTTTCCACCTGGACAGACTGTCTGTCTCTCTTTCTCAACTCCACGTCCCATATTGAACCCCGATTTCTCGTCACACGGTGTTCCCATAGGACTTTCTCAGCGCTCCCAGACGATCCTCTAGTTCCATGGAACGGTCGATCCGACGAGCCGGAAGAACAGACGGCCGCACTCTTGTTATACCAGCCCACTGTCCACGCACTGTCTCTTGAAACGCTTTTTTGATCGCTAGACGGTGTGCACGATCCTTTGGAAACGAGCGCACGTTGATTGGGCGTCCCTTCTCTGTCGCTTTGTTGCAAATCGCACACTGTGCCCGCTGTTAGCGAAGGGCGGTCTCGACTCTCTGCCCCGGGTTCTCGCGAGGCTCTCCCTGCGCGACGTTTGCTCGAATTGCTTTGGATGTTATCATTGGGGGACGTTGGGGATCCGGGGGTACGGTGAAAGGTCTCTAGACGGGGTTCCGAAGAGTTTTACCGAGAGTTTCAGGAACGTAAGACCTTGGATTACTTCGTCCTTTTGCTAGGTTTAGTCGCGATCGAAGTGCTCGCCACTTGGGGTCTCCCAGATCCTTTGGGTCCAACTTGGTAGACTTGTTTCGTGGGTCTAAATAGGGGGTAGACGTGGTATGAGCGTGCAGAACGTAGGTCGTTCGAAGGTTGCATAAGAATAAGAATAGATAAGAGCAGCTGCATCATTGAATGGGATCAGTAGGATCGATATTCTTCTTTGGAATACTCTTTTTATCCAAGTGCCTCCATCTCGGAGGCTTTATGGCTTTTCGATGAGACTTCAAACGACCTATGTATATACGACGTTTACTTGTTATTTATACCTATAGCGTGTAGCGAAGAAGTTTGGTCTGAAAGAAGCTGGGACACACCTTGTACGTGACACTTGGCTCGGGAAAATTAGCAAAGATGTAACGATAACCCGGTCATAGTTGCGGAGTCTGATAAATTTGGAGAGAATGTAGATGATAAAGAACGTAGTGGTAGCAGTAGAAGGTAGAAGGAAAGATCGTCATTTTCTGCTTAGAGTAAGTTAACATTGCATTGTAAGTGTACCAAATTCTCGATGTTGTACCGTCATCATAACTAGCACTTTATTTTCAGATGTAGCAAAAAGATGTGATTAATAAGTAGGTAAACGTTAATATAAAAACGAATACACGAGTGAACCATGACCGATCAAAGAGCATATTCACATTTGTCATGATGAATAGTACACGAACGAGAACTAATTAAGAATTCTTTCAGTAAATCACGTTCTACCGTGAACTAATCGATTTTGTACTTCCTGTAAGTATCTTCCCACTCTATCTTAAGTTTCCCAAGCAAAAAAAAAAAAAAAGAAAAAAAAAGAAAAAACCGGAAAAGAAAGAAAAAGCCAGAGAAACGACATAAGATCAGCTCCTTCTTACGAGGCAGACCATGTCGAGCCGAGTTCAATTCTACTCTCGCATACCCGAAAGAATCACGAACGCCTTTGAAGACCCTTGTCTAGACAGCTCGTAGACTGGAAGCGTTCTAAGCGATTCGAGACTCGCATCTCGCGTTCTGTAGCGATTCGTGGCGATTCGAAATGTTCCGATCGCCAACCGTGTGAGAACCTACCCCCGGAGAGAACTCAACCCCCGGTATCCCCCGCCACCTAACGTTTGTACGAGGCGCATCGCTGCTCTTTTCCTAGATGAGTAACGAAAACGGAAATGAAACGAAGCAGAAAGGAAACGGAATAACAATTAGGGCGCATTGTATGAGAGTAGAGAGCTCGCTACCCCTGCCGCTGCTCTGCGAACGACCTTCACCATCTCTCGCCTCCTCTTTGTTGTCCCACAGCCCCTTGAGTCTCTGTTGCTTCTCAGCCAAGAAAATGCACCCCTTTGTGATACTGGCTGGCTATCTGTTGTGTGGCTGCAAGCAGGCGCAGAGAAACAGAAAAGACCATAGCGAAAAAAGAGGCAGTAAAAAATAGAAATAAAAGAAACAGGAAAAAACGAGGGGAAAAAAAGAAAAAAAAAATAGGAAAAAAAATAAAAGAACACGAAACGATAGCGAGAGGAAGAGGTGGCTTGCTTCTCGTTGCTTAGAGCCTGGCTTTTTCGCCGCTTGATGATTATTTGACTTGGCAGCTGGCGTTTCTTTTACGTTCTCTGTCTCTCGCTCTCTCTCTGTCTCACTCTCTGTCTCTCTTTCTCTCTGTCTCTCCTCCTCTGTCTCTCATTTTTGTTCTCTTTCGTTTTATCTCTCCCGCTCTTACGCCACCCCCCACCGCCCCTATTCCCCCTTTGCTTTTCGTTCCACGCGTTTTGCCCGGCAATTTTTACCATGTTATTCCCTTTGTTCTCTTTCTGTTCCCTTTTTTCACAGTTTCTCAGTTGCTCCCGTTTTTTTCATCGTTCCGTTCGACCGTGTTTTTTCTCTTTTGGTTTCCGATCTTACGTTCTTACGATCTGCCCAGCCGCGCCTAGCCTGAACGTCCAGGAGAACGTTCAGCCCCGATTGATGATCGGTCGTGCTCCTCGATACCAGTGTACTCAGCGACTCGTTTTATTTTTGTTCCTTCGTTCGTTTGTTCGATTTTCTCCCCAACCTTCCGACCTCCACCTCGTCCAAACCACGTCCAATCATCGTTGCGTTGTTTCGTTTGTGTTACCTTGGTTTCTGTGTTCGTTAATTTCGTTGATTAGTAACGCTGTTGCCACACCTGTGCGCGAGCGCGCGCGTCCACGTGCGGCCATTGCATCCGGCGACGACAGCGCGCCGCGTGTACGCGCACGTTTCGCGCACTTGTACAATATTACAAACGCCATCGTTACTTGTACGTTGACCATTGATGATCATTTAGCTGTTCATTTATTACCGTGGAGAGTTGTGTTACGACAAACGCTTTCGTCTTTTTTAAATGGACTTGTGACTGTCTCTTGTAGAACAGAAGGTTGGATGTTCAGTTTACTTCAATGTATATGTATATGTATATCGTTCCTTTGTTTGTGTCTCGTTATCTTTTTTCCTTTTTTTCTTTTGTTCACTGAATGATTCAGACCATGCGTATGCATATCCACTATGCGCGCGCTCCCATGCGTGAACGGGTACATGTGTACATGTGCCCGCGTGCAATTATGCGTATACATACATACGCGCAATATCCTCGGGTTGTGCAACGAAAGCAACGAATATAACGGACGAAGAGAAAAAAAGAAAAAAGAAAAAAAAGGAAAAGAAAAGAAAATATAAATTCGCCATATTCTGGTCGTGTGTCGTTGTGTGCCGTCTAAGTGTCTCCACTGGCCGCGTGTAGCGCGCGCGCGCGCGTTTGTGCGTGTATGTGTACCGCATGACATATATGATGTTCGTTAGTTTGTTCCTTTGTCTTTTTTTTTTTACTTTTTTTTTACGTTCTAATGCCAGGTAATGTATTGAAACTAGTTGTGGTCTAGCAGTAAGTTTTTCATCGCCCTGTTTTTTTACCCGTACTGTCCAGTAGGCGCAGAAAATGATACACTGTGACTTATCAGCCATCATGGATACCATCACGATATATAGATGACACGCGCCGTTTCCATCCGTACAGCCGTTAGACGGATTCTGTGCGCTTTGTGCCGAGATCGAATGGCGATTCCGGGATCCCCCACCCCCGCGTACGGGATCACGCGACCAACGTGCGCGCATGCGCGCCACCACG